CACTGAGACGACACGCCAGTCAGGATTATCCTGAGAGGCAGACAAACAGCTCATTACTGTTCTGTTGTCTCCGCCAGTCTGACAACGTTCCCTCTGCAAGAACTTATCCCCCAAAGACCAAGAACCTTCGGAGGACCTCCGTTCTTCCACCTGCGATCCCACCTGAGGTCCGAATCAAGTTCAGGTTTAAGTGAAGGTTTAAGAACTTTCTGGATGTTTTTGTTTGACTTACTTACTGCAACACATTTCGCAGAATTCTAAAGACGTCGCTGACAAGTTTGGGTTTTTTTTGTTCATTGTGCTTCGATGCAACACCCCAGAGCTGCAGAAGAACTCCTCTGATAGAACATCTACTAGAACATTTCACAAAGCCGTCTTCGATTACAACTGCTCAAGGATCTTTTATTTCCTCTGAAGGTTCCCAAACTTTAGTGGAAGAACTAAATGGGGATTTGTTTAAAATTGGGGTTTCGACAATGGAGAGACTTTTATGACTCTCGTCTTACCTGAACCTGAACTCTTTCCTCCATCTTTTCGTCAAAATTAAAATCCAGTTCACATTAGACCAGTTCAGTAACTGACCCATGAGTTTGGTAAAGAGTTTCCTTGTATAAAACATCTAAACTTTGGGCATGTTGTTGGTCTACGTTGGTCAACGCAACAACACGGAGCTACAGAAGAACTCATTTCATAGAAGCTCATAAAAACTTGTGTATCAAACTGCTGACGGATCCTTTATTTCTTCTGAACGTCCCCAAACATTATTAATGTTCTTCTGAGTTCTTGCTTCTTTTGAAAAACCGAGGCGCCTTCGTGACGATCGTACCTAAACATGAACTCTCTCCTCCATCTTTGTGTCATGATTAAACTCCAACTAGTCCATCCAAACTTTAGGTGTTGGTCTACGCTGGTCAACACATCAACTCAGAGCTGCTTCTCTGACAGAAGGTCGACCTGAACATTTCCTAAAAGCTGTTTTTGGTTGTCGAGCACAGCGATGTTTCTGCACCTCGACTACGGGGCAGTAACATGCATGTGTGACATACGTAGACGACGATCTACTGTGCACGTGCAAATCTTGAAAACGGAATCCAAATGGACGAAAGAGCAACAACTAAGCATCCGTGGTGTCCAAAAGGGGGGTCTGTTTTGTGGTTTTCGGAGCAAAGCAGTCCATTTCGAAGAGTCCTAAAACCAGGAGTTATACAGTCATGATGAAATAAACCATCGTTACAGTATTTTGAGCTGCAAAACTAAAAAACAGAGAGAGTTTTCTTCCTGAAGGGGGCGTTGACAGCAGCAGCTCGTTGGTTTTCTGAGCAGCATGGTCCATTTAGAAGAACCTTAAGACCATACAGTCGAGGTAAAATGAACCATGTTTGTAGTATGTTGAACTGAAAACCTGAGTTGTAAGATTAATCTGCTGAAAAATGGAACAAAATGGGACCTTTGAGTCAGTGCCTTCAAACTGGGACTCAGGAGTTTAGAACTATGGTCCAGTAACCGTCCGTGAGTTTATTCAGGAACCTCATGTGTCCAAAAAATGTCTAAAAACTTCCGGCATGTTGGTCTAAGTTGTTCATTAATGGACAGATAATGAGACAACGGACTCCTGGACGCTCACACTGTGGTCATTTATTGTGTCTTTTACGTAGTTTTGCAGCCATTTAGTGTCTCGTTGTGGCCAGTTTGTCTCTTTACAGCCTTTTGAATGATCAGTTTTCAGTTAATCAGCTCATAATGTGGTTCTGCCACCAGTGTGTGGGTTTAGTGAGGAGCTCTGTTCAGTTCCAGGACACTGAGTTCTGTCAGCAGGAGAACAAACACGCCGTTAAGATGCAGGTTAAGCTGCTGGAAGCATCCTGCAGCAGAGACTCTGTAGCTCCCCCCGGTGGCCGCTCGGCAGAACCGCGTCCGGCTTCACTGGGCTATAAAAGGCAGATTTATGCGTGTAGAAAATAGCTCAGCGACGAGGTGAATGATTCAGCCTTCAGCAGCGCGCTGCATGTGTGTGGGTTTGTGTTGTGGTTCGTGGTGCGTGAAAAAGGCCAAAGCATGTTTCACACTTCATCCTCCCACACTGGAAGGACGAGCATCTGCATTTCTTATCATCAGAGCCGGTTTCTATAACGTTCCTGCTCCGATTGGTCTGCAGGAGAGGGGAAGTACTTAGAGCTGGAGTTAGTAGCTTCAGTTTTGGTCGTCGCTTTTTCATTTTAGTCATATTTTAAGCAACAAAAGCCAAATATTTGAGGTTGAATGTTTGTTTTTGTGGGATTTTTAGTCACTTAATGCAACGGGGCTGCAACTAACGGCTGCTTTCATCGTCGAATAAGCTGTTGGGTGTTTTATTTAATTAACCAATTAGCTGTTTCGTCCGTATTTGGTCAGAAAAATCTCCTTCAGTTGTTTAAAGTCACAGAGGAGGAAAGAAACCAGGAAATGTTCACGTTAGAGAAGCTAGAATCAAACAATTGAGACTGTTTTGCCATAAAAAAAATCCCTCAAATTGGTTAATTTACCATCAAAATCGTTTACAACTAAATAAATGAAAAAAGAAAAAAATGATTATTTTTAGAGCTGCAACTCTTAGTTTCAGTTTTGATCACTGATTATAATCATCTTTGATGATTTTAGGTTCTCAATACTTTGTTTTTGTAGAACTTTAGTCGAATAAAACAAAAAGGCGTCTTCTTCATCTTAGTAAGGCTGCACCTAACTGCTGTTGTAATTGTCTGTTGGTTATTTTATGGATTGTTTTCTGGATGTTTGACCTATAAAATGTATGAAAATAGTGAAAAATATGCCCAAGATGACGTCCTCAAGGTCTTGTTTCATCCACAACCCAAAGATATTCAGATTATTGTCCCAGAGGAGGAAAAAAAAACAGAAAATATTCACATTTAAGAAGTTAGAATCAAACAATTTAGACTTTTTTCTTTACAAAATCCCACAAACTGAATAATCAATCATCTAAATAATTGAATATTTTTTGCAGCTCACCACTTACTGAAATCTTTTGAACATAAACTAAACAATTAATCCAACATGAAAGTAATCGTTAGTTGCTTTAAACACATTCTGGAGAATATTCTTGTTTATTTTCTTGCTGGAAGCTTTAAAACAGAAAACAGCCGATGAAGCTCCGTCAAAAGGTGACAAAATCCACTAATTCACATTTTACATCGCTTGTTTTTTTCTATAATCGAAGGACAGTAGCTTTGGAGAAACAGTGCAGCACATAAGACATCCTGGGAAGTTCTTGATTTGTATTTCAGTCCTGGAAAACCCACAAAGAACAGCAGACAGATTCTTTATCAGTCAGCCGGTTTGTCTGCAGGTTTCTACGAGGCGCTCTGACCTCCGGCTGCTGGTCGGAGTCGCTCTCATGTCAGATTTGTGCATCTTTAATGTCAGATCGGCTGTTTTTCTCTTCTTCTGCGTGAACTTTGTTGTTCTGCTGCTCGCTGAACAGCATGTGCTCACCACATCTGCTGTTGAAGGAATGAATCTGAATTCTTTGTTTGTATTCGAGAAACTTTCTGTCAAGAAGCTTTTAATTACGGATCTGGACGCGAACGAAAACTCTGCTTTGGATAATTAGGGTCTGAAGTCAAATGAACTTGTTTAAAGTTCCTACATTAGCATAATCACCGCAGCCTAATTGGAAAATCTTAACTTATACAAACATATTTTCCTTCAGAAGTTGCTTCGCGGAAACATCTCAGTGTTTGAATCCAACTTTCCACATCACAGAGGAGCTTCCCCCTGCAGCAGATGATTGATTAGTTTTATTTGTATTATTTGTCCATGTGTGTTTATAGACGCTCGGCCCACAAGAAACCATTAAAAGACCCCAAAGGAGCCCACATGATTCACATTATTAAGCAAACAAACTCGTTTCCAGGCTTCAGAAACAAACTTTAGCAACACGAAGTCACTGAAATGAAACAGCTCCTCCATCGTGTTGCTGCTCGTGTGGATTGACGGGATTTAAAGAAACTTTTATCTGCATTTTGTGTTTCACTCTTTTTTTTAAATATGTTTTTTGTTGCTTTTTTGTGCTTCTAAAAGTTCTGCAAACCTACAAAACCTAAAGTCAAAAGGAGATTTTTTTTCCCTTTTTTAGCTGAAATTTCTTTCTTTTTTAGTTTTTATTTTTTTTTTAACAATTTACTCCTATTGTACTTATTTTTCCTATTTTGTTAAACAGATATTGCACTGAATGGGATCGCACTCAGTTTTGTTGTACTTTTTTCTTATGATGACATTAAAGGATTCTGATTCTGATATGTAGTAAAACTACATAAAAATAAGTCGTCATTTACACTTTACCCATTAAAAATCAGTCCAGAACTGTGAATAATATCCACATCAAAAATCTGGTTTTCTAAAAAATGCTTTTTACTGAATTTAAATCAGCAAAAAAAAAATCAAATTATTTTACAGATATTTGCTGTTATTTTCACCATTTTTACAGTTTTTTTTTTAACATGACAGTATTTCACTGTTATGTAACGTGTTCTTTGTAGAACCAGATTTTCAGATTTTTGTTTTTTTAATAAATCTGGGTTTATGTGGTTTATAACCCTAACACGTTGTTATTACTCTTTTTAAGGTTTCACTGCCTTTACTGATGTCTTCTTATTACTTTATAGTGGTCTGTACAGTCGAACGTCTTGTACAGCAGCTCCAGTTTCAGAAAGGTGCTTTAGAAATACAGGTGATCATCATGGCTTGGCTGCTGTTTCAGTAGAATTTAAAACCAGATATTTCAGTCTGTTCACGTGTTTTTGATGTGGAATGAAGATATTTTTAGCCGAGCTGACTTCAGAAAGATCTCAAAGCTGATTCATCGGCGTTGATCCACTTTTCTTTTTGTCTCTCAGAAGTCAGACATCCGTCTGAGACACAAATCTGAGCGCTAATCCGAAATGTGTGCTTTCTGTCTCTTTCTAACCTCAGCTGTCTTCTTCTTCTTCTTCTTGTTATTTGTGCAGTTTTCCTGCGGAGCCACAAGAGCCTGGAGTCGGTGGATCCTCAGTTCACGATGAGGAGGAAGATGGAGCAGCTGCGAGAGGAGCTGGAGCTCATGGAGCAGCTGAGAGACGTGAGACGCTCGCATCTTTCTGTTTACGCCATCTGAGGCGGATTACTGGCAAATGCTGTCGCTCTCCTCCAGCCTCAGTCTGCACTTCGTCAAAATAACTTCTGAGATCTGGAGACGTGGCATCAAGCAGCGATGTTAGACTTCAACCACGTCGCCCAGTTTGTGTTGAAAGCAGCCACTGCTTCCACGTTTCTGAGCTATGTCCTAATTTTTAGCCATTTCGGTATGAAGTGAAGCTCTTTTCTGACTGGATTTATTTCTCTGTGAGAGCTTCTCTTCCCTGTTCACTGGTTTTTAATCCACTCTGAAGCAGATGTGGATCATTTCTTCAGCCAGTAAGAGTCACAGCTGAAATTACCTCCACTGCTCCTCCTTGAATTTAAATCCAGAGTTCTTGAATTTTCATTTTTTTTACTCCTTTTGTGCAGTTTATCACATCAGCATCTGACATTTGCATGAAAATGGCAAAAATCTAAAATGTTTTCTTGCTAAAAAAAACAACCTGCAACCTCCAGATCTCCTGTAAGGACTTATTTATGAGGCTCATATTGGTTTTTACCTCCTTACATATCATCATTACTGTTTTTTTTTTAAAGCAGGCCTTATTAAACACGCTCAAATGATTGAGTTGTGCTGCAGAAAAATCCAGTTTTACTCTCTGTGCACCTGAAATAACCTGCAAAAGTCTAAATCTGGACTCATTTTGATCCTTTAAACGATCCAGGATTTTTAATTTCACCTCATTTTACTTGCAGCTGCTCGTGTTTTAGTTGATTAATTTGTTTTTAAAACGCTCTGAGTAATGTTTGCCTTTTAATAGTTTTTTTGCTCCCTGAGTTTCCGTCGTTATAAATGAGGTTTTTAAACATCACTGAGGCTGAATTCATTAGTTTTCTGCTGTAGTTACTGTTTGTTTTTAGCATTTTATTTGTTTAATTAGCCTCATTTAACTTGTATTCACTGTTAGCAGTTCCTGTTAGCAGTGTGCTAGCACATGATTGTGATGTACTACTTTGGGTTTTGCAGACTGACTAAACTTTTAAGCCGCCGTCAAGCTCACGTTTGTGTTTCTGTCCGTTTGCGGCTCAGAGCATCGAGAGCAGACTGAAGGTCGTCCTCCCAGAAGACCTCGGCTCGTCCCTGATGGACGGCGTCGTTCTCTGCCATCTGGCCAATCACATTCGCCCGCGGTCGGTCGCCAGCATCCACGTCCCCTCACCTGCAGTGGTACGTCTCACACTGCCAAACAGTTTTCTGGGTGTTTTTTTTGTAATACAGAGTCTAGTGCAGCCATGACTAGAGGGAGAGAGAGGGCTCCTCTGGGCAGTATGACAGTTAAAATGACATTAATCATTAAAAAAAACATTTACTTTCTTTGATTATGTGACAGAAAATGTGTGATAGGTTAGCTGTAGTACCTGGTTGCACCACCAGGTGGAGCCTCGCACTTTTTTTGCCAGTGTAGTGATCAGAGGAGGAAAAGAGTTCCATGTCAGCGAGCAGAGAGCGTTGTGAGGGTTTAGCTAGTAAGGGGCACCATGACGAAGTCTTCTCTGAGGCTTCATGGCCTTTTTTTCTTTTTTAACATTTAAAAAAAAAAAAAAACACAACAGAAGAAAACTACGTAGTAAAGATATTTTACGACTTACATTTTGGATTCGTCTCCTCTCTGCTCCACAAAAACAGCCTGCAGTTCAGCTGTAAGGTCCCTGAAGTTTATTGTTTTGGTTTCTTGGTTATGACAGAATGCCGAGAATTTGTAGTTTTGTTGTTGTTTTTTTTAAAGAATCTGATGCAAATAGTTTATTTTGGCCACGTTTTTAAAAATTAAGACGTAGAAGTAAGTGATTTTGATAAAATATCAGGATTTCTTTTTTTTTTTTCATTCAGAATGATTCGTCACCAATGAGTAGTTCAAGGACTGTCAGAAAGTTTAAATTCTGGTGACTCTTTCTGTTTGCTATAAATGTTGTCATTTTGGTAGTTTATTAAAAATAGAATTGGCAGGTTTTGGGGTTCAGAGAGTTAAAGCGGTAAAAGTACAAGAATTAGTTTGAACCTCAGCTTCCTAACAAACTGCTTCTTATTGGGTTTTGTGCAATGTTGAAACTCATCCTATCTTTAGCAAACGATCATTTTTATGCACTTTGTTTGCTTGTGCTTGCAGCCCAAACTCAGCATGGCCAAGTGTCGGAGAAATGTGGAGAACTTCCTGGACGCCTGCAGAAAAATCGGCGTCCCAGAGGTGAGACGCACTCATTTGCACAGAAACCACAGCTGTGACTGAAACATGGTCTCTCTGAACTGGGGGTGGATTTCAGGTTTCTGCTCGCGTCCCTCCAAACCCTGAGGACAATCCTTCAGACAGTTCCTGCTCAGCGCTAACTAGCCACTGGTCTGAACCCAGTTTGTTGTTTACAGCCCAGTAATCCTGCTGATTGCAGCTAATTGAGAAACCTTGACGCTCTGCATGTCAGTCAGCCTGAAAACACCCCCAGTTCACCAGAGAGACTCCCTGCTGAGTCCATTCCAGCCTGAAACAGCTGCCTCAGTTGTTGACTTGTTGTTGACAAGAGATGTCAAAGGAACTGTGAAGGTGTCCTGCAAAAACTACCTCCTCTTCAAAGTCACATGTACCGGCTGGGAGGAAAAGACCTGCACATTATGTACATTTATGGTGACATAGCATCAGCACATTATCTCCTGATTTATGTCAGCTAATGAGGTGAAAAGTGGAATTAATCGATTGGTTTTTGCAGGACATTAAGCTGTAAACCAGATGTGGGAGGAAGGCTGCTGGTTCTTCTTTGTCGTGTCGTCCTCCTGCACTCAGACTTCACTATAGAACTCAACTACACATTAATTTGTGTTTAAAACAGCTGGAATTCCAACTTAAGTCATGTGTTTTTTCCTAAGCTTACAACTGGAGAACCACTCAGCCTTCTTCCCAGGACTGGTTTGATTTCCTACCTGCCTCCTTTTTGTTCTCATGGCTTTTAAAACGAGGTTCTCTAACACGTAACGCTGATTCATCACCGCTGTCATCGCTGCCTGCAGCTTCCTCCATCATGACAGGAGTCGGCCTGAAACAGAGCTGCTGGGTTTCGCTGTGTGTTTGTGTGAGAAACTGCACTCACGAAACATTTAGACCGTTTCTAGAAAACACATCTCCGGCTCTGCAGCATTTAAGGACTGTTAGCATGCAGGCCGGTTCTGGTAAAGGAGAAGATGGTGTTTGGTTGCAGGTGTAGCAGCCGAACAACCGAATCTGTCCAGTTACACTCCAACTGGTGGATTCTGGGAAATACAGCAACGGGAGGGAACAAAAACAAACAAAAAATGTTGGACATTTTGGGATGTTTCTTCCTGAGAGTTAGATGTTTATATGTTAGCCACTTTCGTATCTGTAGGCTAAATATGAAGCTAAATCCACCAGTGGCTTCGTTTAACTTAGTACAAAGACTGAAGACGAGAAAATTGCTCATTTCCAGACTTTTCTCTCAGCATTTACAAGCTCATCTAGCATTTATACCAGTTACAGAAAGCATGGATGTTTACTTGGTAAAGCGGGAACTGGTCAGAGTCCCAGTCTGATAACATCTTTCTGAGGCAGA